AGAAGGAATTCTACTTAATCACCCCTTTATATAATCACCAAAAAGTGGTAGCCAAATAGGGTGATTATATGGGAGGATGATTGTATTCTGTCAGAAAAAAAAATCTTAAAAATGATGATAATAATAATCTTAATGTTGTCTTTTATATTTGCAATTGTTGTGATTTCAATCATGACAATTGCTATGTAATCATGTATTTGCTGTATTAGCAAACAATCATATTTACAATGAGGATATAGTAAATGATCAACAAATATTGGAATCTGATTGTTCTAATGCAGATCAAACAAATAATGATGATATGTAAGAAGGTTCAATTTGTGAAACTGCAAGAAGATCTTGCTGCAATTGTTAATGAATGGGAAAATATAAAAGGCAAAGACATTTATAATTTTAGAATGGTCCTTTAGCAAGCTATCCAAAACGGAAAGATCAAGAATCACAAGGTTAGAATCTGTTGCTCAAGCTACTAATAACAATGAACTAATTTATAATATAGCGCCAAATACAAAAATTTTAAGACAAAACAAGTATTGATTTGTTTTTTTTATTTGTTTTTTTTTCTGTATCGGTATGCATATATGTATTCAAGCAAAGATTTGTAAACGAATTATGTAGAAAAATTTTTATATATAATAAAAAAAAAACTTTTAATTACTAGTATGTACAAATATCTTGGTTATTATTTTAATTTAATAAAGATTAAGTACTTGCGCATAGTGTTGAGAAAATTGTGTATTTTGAAATTGATGTTTTTTTGAAAAAGATGCGGCATATCGAAAAAATAGAGGTTTTTTTTTTTAAGTCTTTTTTTTTCTTTTTTTTTTCTAAGCCAATTATTATTATTATTATTTCCTCTTTCTTTTTAACCCGCTTTTTTTGAAATTTTACTTTTTTTAAAAAATTTGACCGAAGGTATCTCGACAACCAGTTGACCAAATTCGATGGATTTTTTTTTATTTTAATTCTGTTAGTATGTATCATTAAAATAAAAAAATTTCATTGAATTTGGTCAACTGGTCGTCGAGATACCTTCGATCAAAGCTTTTCTTTTTAAAAAAATCTAAACGCTTATCAAAATAATAGCTGTAGCAATATTTTCTCTAACTTTGATTGAAGGTATCTCGATAACCATCTAATCAAATTCGATGAATTTTTTTTTTTTTTTGCTAGAATTCTACGAGTCTGTAGAATTGATACCTTCGATAAATGTTTTAAAAAAAGTGATTTACATGGGTGTGGAAATATCGAACTTTTCATTTATGAAAAAACCTTATTGTACGAATTAATTATTGTACAAATTATTGTAACTTATATGCGAAGTCAATGTTTTCTCTTATTTTTATTTGTTTTATTTTTTTAAAAAAATATTAATTTATTATTTTAAACTTTTTTATTTTTTATCTTTATTTTTTTTTTTTGGCAATGTAAACGACTACGTAATTCGGTAATTATTTTGCCAATCAGAGACAATATTAACCATGTCAATCAGAAGTGGCGGGGGAAATTAGGGCTACCATGTTAATATAGCTATTAGACTAGTTAGAAACTCACGTAATTGCATGCTGTAAGTTGACATGTCCAGTGATCTAGACCAGTTGAATGCTGTAAAATATGTGTTATATGTCGTGCCCCTCCTAAGTTGGAGGCATCCGATGAATGTTTTGTAGGTAATATTTTAGATGTGAAGAAAAAATTCTCGTTGAGCAGAAAGTTTATTATTAGTAATTTCAAGTAAAGAGCAGAGAAAAAATAACTTGCATTAATTCTAATGATTTACTAATTTTATTTATTCAAAACTTTAATGATATTTATATTGATACTTGTTGGATATACATTTTCACAAGGATGTTTATATCTTTACATAATAAATATAAAAGATGTTTGACAAAAACAATAATAAGGATGGTTATATCTTTAATTAAAACACTGTCAATATAAATTTAGACGATGTTAAAAAAACAATATAATATTTGATATAATAATAAATAATTGTTAATAAAAATTATATAAATAAATATATAAATAAATATTTGAATTTTAATTAATGCATTGCTTAAAAAGGATTTGTTCTAACTATTTGTTTAAGTTATAATACTTAAATATAAATATTTGATATTATTAAAAAATGAAAAGCGGTTTGCGAATAAAACTGTAAAGGTAAATTTGGAAATTTATTAAAAATATAAATTACCAGCTTGGGGAACAAAAATCCGGTGACTATAAAAAATTGTGACTATATAAAGGCCAAAGTTTATATCCTTTATAATAGCTTGAGCTAAAAAATTGTGTGATTATATCAAGTGGTAACTATAATGAGGTCTAATTGTACGCCTAAAATTATAATATAACTTTAAAAGTCGATTCTTTTTGACTTTTTTTTCTATACGTTGAAACGCTTCAAAGATTTATATGTTAATTTTTTAAAGTTATAATATTTATTTCTTGAATGTCTGTCCTTCTTCTTCTTTGAAGATATTGGACTGCCGCACAATCTTTTGTTTTTCCGCAGCCATCACCTAAAAAAAAAAAAATTACCATTTAATATAATAAATCAATATTGATTTCAAGAGTCTTTTGGCAATAATTACCTCTATTCTCGTTTTTATAAAATGATATGCTTCATGTGTATGTTTTATCAAAAGTGATGTAGGAAACATTTCTGAAATTGAGTCTTCATCTATACTATCTGGCCAACAGCAGAGGGCTGCCTGATTTAAATATTCTGATAAAGGATGATCCTCTCGTATAGTTTCTACTAATAACTGACGGAACATAAATCGTTTTAATGCATTCATAAATGTTTCAGCTTGAATAAGATTTGCGTTAAGTTTAATGTCCTTTTCTTCAAAAGAACAAGATGCTAATATCTCTATTTCTATTTCTTTCGTAAGACTAGCTTTGTATTTTACAGTAATACTTTCTATCATAATATCTGCAACTTTTCCTTCAACGATTTCATAAAGCGCAACAACATGCTTGAGTTGCAAACCAGTATTCAATACCTTTTCTAGTGCCTTATTTTCAGTGAGAACAGAAAGCTTTACCCAATGTTTAATATAATTTTTAAGCGTTATATTTCCATCACTGCCAGCAGTTCTCTTAATGAAACATAAAAGCAATTCTAAAGCAGACAATAGTTCCGATTCATTGTCTGACAATATTATCTCAGTACTTCCAGCTTTACTGCTAAATTCGGAAGGATAGTTTGATGAAACTCCACCCGTTAGTAATCCCAACATGCCTTGTGGTATCGATTCTTGTTTAATCTTTTGTTTGATGTCATATAATATAGAAGTGGAACTTTGAAACATTTCCATGCAGTAGAAGAATGGCTCTAGAATAAGTCCACCTGGCTCAGTGGGTTCTAAATAAGTTTTATTTAACACCAAAGTTTTTGCAAGTTCTGCTTCAATTTTATAAAGATCATAAATAATTTCCTTGCCTCTACCAACATTAAGGATACGTTGACTATATTCTAATAATTTTGGATTCCATTCGTAATCAATAAAATTTGTTTGTCTAGCCTCTTCAAGTCGTACAGATTTGATGAGATACGGATCATTAGTGTCTGACCGTGTCTGACGCTCAATAAATTTCAATGAATGGCATGTTCCAGGTTGAATTTTCATAACGTCGCGTAGGAATCTATTTTGAATATCAACTAAATATTCTAATGCCGCACATAAAAATAGACCTGCATCTTTACCTTCTACAAGACCAAAAACAATCTGGCAATCCAAATTCATCTTGGGTTTATTTTTAGGTAAATCATGACATTGATATCTATCAATAAGTGGCATTATAGCATTCCAAGATTCTGCAAATTTATCAAATGCAACTTTAAGAGAATGTTGAAGCTCTCCATATCCGACAATAAATTGACGGAATGTCATATTTAACGCATCATCCCGTTTAATACGATAATTAAGACGCATGGAAAGTATACGTGAAAATTTAACCAAGTTATATAAATGTTTAGGATATAGTAAAAACTTTTCATATTTGAAGAATATTGAAATAAATGGAAACTTCTTATGATAATTTTCATTATTTGAATAAAATGCGCGAAAGTTAGCAAAGTTTGTATTTCCGACAAGTCTCCATAGTTTAGGTAATCGTCTTGTGCTGTAAGTGTCATCAAATGTCAAAGTTTCATTTATCTCTGCTTCAAAAATAGTGATTTTTTTCTTCCTATCATCTTTTGCTCTCTGGAGTTTATTACGCAAATCCATTGTAGCTGCCGCAGGATTTCTGGCCCGATTATTAACATATTGCATGGTAAAATGATTCTCCCAATTTGTTCGTGCATCTCTAGTTGCTAATACAGAATTCGAAATTTTATTATCTTTAACGATCGAATGAAGTATATCATGTAATATTAAAGCCAAATCTTCATCATTACAGTTCAATTGAGACTTTAATACATCCCAATCTTTAGTAATATGATCCAAACAATGTGCAATAGGATCAGAAATATTTTTAAGGAATGTCTGTGAATAAGCGGAGACGGAAATAAGTGCATGAATAAAAAGATGTAAGATTCGGTAAGAAGGTGTAGTCATTTCGCGAACACTTTTGCTTTGTTCTAATGATCCAGTCTCCATTATATAACCAGTCTTATCACTATTAGCGATGACATCTCGAACTTGATTTGCGTTTAATCTTGTTTGACCTACTGCTGTTACATGTGCTTGTCCACCAATTGTTGCACCACATTTTGGGCAACTTCGGTTCTGCATAGTTTGGCCACATTCACCAACAACATATTTAAATCCACAGCCACATTGGTACCTATATAAAAGGAGGGTAAGAATCTATAGTAAACTTATTTTCACTAAAGTTGTAACTTACCAGGCGAATTCTTTGAGTGCACCCATTAATATTGCATCTTCATCAGATGGACAAGTTAATATATATGTATTTTGAACATCTTGAAGTCTGTGAAGGTATTGTGTTAATGGTGAATGATTAGACGGAAGTGATGCATAAACTGCGAGTATGTGAATGATAACCAAACGAATTAATAAATTTTTATTATCAATATTTGTCTGAATTTGGAGCATAGGATGATCATTATCTAAAAGCCTCGTCACGAGCTGTTTATAAACTGGTGATAAATTAATCATATCCAAAAAAACTCTTAAATTGGTAATCACTTCATTTTCATTCAAGCTGCGCATAGGGTTAACTGAATTTAAACGATCCATAATAACCCCGACAAAGGCAATGCGCAAATTAACGCTGCTAGCTGATGAAAGCTTGTTCAAAACGTTATTCAACTGAGCCCCGTTTAAAGAATCGTCCGCATTATCATATTCATCAAGCAAAAGGTAAGGATTAAAGGGTAATCGGGAATCATTATCTTTATTCCATGGTAAATCAGAAAGCCATGGTAGACTTTCTTGCTGAATATTACAGAATTGTTTAAGGTCATTCATTGAGAAACCACGAATTCGTAATCTCTTGAGAAAATAGTATTTGAGTGATTGGACTTGTGGATGTCGACTTTGCATCAATTCATTCAGCTCGACCATAAATTTGTTTGAATCTATTAAATTAAAATTCAACGACTCAATCAAAGCATTGCTTATAGTTAATGATGACCAAAAGCTATTTACAAACTGTTTTAATAAAGCTATAGCACAAACAAGCTGTAATGGTTTAACATTTTTAGAACACAAAACTCGTAAAGCATCCTGGAATAACCCTTTAAGTCTATCTAACTCAACATTTGCGAAAAATTCGTTTTGAATAACATCACAGCATAGTGCCGCTAGCTGTGAATCACACGAATTCTTTTCTAATTGTTTATTTATTATATTAAGTCTCGGGGAGAAATGTAATACCTCATTTGCATTCCTGATTATAGCTGAGAATAGGTCTTTTTCCTCAGAACGAAAGATGCAAAGCACTATAAATGCTGTGAAAGGTAATGGCTGAGCTTTTTCAAACAACTTTTCATAAAGGTGTAAGCGAGTAGGCGATTCAAGAGGAATAATATCTAAAATTCTTAGCACAAAATTTTGTCTCGCAATGGTATTCGGATATGTATTTTTTGATTCAAAAAATTTAAAAATATGATCAATGAACTTGGTATCCGAAAGACCATTATTACGTCCAATGTCAATAACTGTCGAAAGGCTATCATAAGGAATTACTTGTTTTGAAACGAGATCGTTGAATACATTTAGGAGTTGGAGAGAAGGAGTTAAAGAATCCATTGAGAGCTCCGAACAAAGTAGCAGTATTTGGGTGGCCTCAAGCTGCCATTGTTCCAATTGTTTTTTATCATTTATCATGTAGATACTATCCAATGTCAACCGAGCGGCTAAATCCGGTAGATCTTTTTCAAAGTTCTCGAAACCGTCACTTATATCTTTAGCTAATTCATCAGTAATTGAAGGACAAAGTTTAACTAACTGTAACTCAGCTAACACAATATCAGATTTTGCCCACCAATATGTGTGAAGTCTGATAGGATTTAGGATTAACTTTTTACCCAAACGTCTAAGTAGTAGAAGGTTGATAAGTTTAATGTTTTCGCTGCCCCCATGATTAGAAGAGATGAAGATAAGAAAATCTTTGTAATATAAGTCAGGTGCTATTTGAGAGGGCGCATCTTTTAATGCAGGAATTTTTGATAAAATGTTTTGGAATCTTTCAAAACAATCGGCAAGTACATTATCTAATAGATCACCAGTATAATAGTCGATATTATTTTTGTCTTCTTTAAGTATTTTAATGTCTTCCAAATAAAGCTTTTCGTAAAGATTAATTTGTTTGATAATATAATAGGAGAAGGGAAACTCCATAGTATATGGACCGCTTGCCATGGGATAACTGTCAGGTTTCGGATCCATCAAATATTCAATATCGATAACATTATTATTGTCAAACAACTGATACCAAAATTCAATAAGGTAGTTATCACCGTTTTTACATTCGAGATTTAGTAAAGTTTTGAGAGTAGAAAGTCTTTCAAGTACACATAATATTTTAGCAATATGTTTTCTCACGGTGATTCGTATATATGCCTGAAGAGCGGCGCAGAAGGATGAATGTAAATAAAGTACTCGCTTGTCAGTGGCAACCTTCAATTGCCAATTCGTTGAAGCGTTCTCGTCTAACCATTTTAATGTTCTTTGTTTCATCACTTTTACAAATCGTGGATGTTTGGGAATCTCATTGACAAGGAATCTAAAGGAAAAATATATAGTTAAAACAGATGTGATGAATTCAAACTATAGAAATATACGAAATATATTAGAATTACTCACTTGATATGTTCTATAGAATCCATCGTCGACGGATACTTAATACACAGAAGACTCCATAGTAGCTCTTGCTCTAAAATGTCTTCAAATGGTAAAACCGAATTCATGACATTTATGATTTTTCCACCCAAAAAGATTGGCAAGTTCTTCTCTTCTGGTGTCAGAGTTCCAACAGTAATCTGATTCCATCCACACATAAAGTCAAAATAAGATGTAGTTTTCTGTTCACGATGAATATGGAGAATGATGCAAACATGTTTTACTGGTACATCAATATCACTCTTTCGTTTTTTTTCCAAGTATTTTGCTCTTATTTGTTCAATAATGAATTTTGCTAATTTGATGCAACTGGAATTTATCATTGATTGATCACATTGTAAAACTAAAAGCTCATCATTACTATCCAGCCAAAAGCGTTTTATCCGATCTTGGAGTTGAGCTTCTGTTTTAAATGTCGAAAGTTTATCTACTTGGCAATTTATCTCTAACGTACTCAAGCAAGCCTTAACGTCAGTGTTAATATTTGAAAATGTGTTTACTATTATTAATTGTGCCTCTTTGTTCTTTCGATTTTTTTTATCACCAAGTAATATCCTTAAACATGACTCAATATCATCATGTAATCCACTATTAAAATAGGAATCACACAATTCATTGACTTCTTTGGGTTTCTGCATGAATAAGAGAGATTTCTTTGCACGCACAATACCATCTGATGAAGCAATAGTTATCAATCTCTCCTTGCATCTCTTTAATGTTAACTCATCATCACCATCCTTTTCCTCCATTTTGCACTGATCAAATACTAAACTCTGAATAGTTTCTTCTTTGTTAAACCCTATAAAAATATCTTTTTCGGTGAATTCATTTGGCGCAACCCCCTGCACTGTTGATATTTGACGAACCCATTTAAACAAAGCATTACAAAGTTCATTATGATGTTCAGTAAGTATATCATTAATGGTTAATCGTTGTTTCTCAAATCGATTGAGCAGAGGTGGATCAGTGTATTCGAGTTTATTTTCGTCCATTACTAGAATACATTTAAAGTCTGGATGTACATATAACATTGGGTTGGAATAAGCACCAAGTGCAACTCTTGTAAAATACTTTATATCTTCACGATTGCCGAGAGTGATGTAATTCTGATTCCATAAATCATAAAGACTTCCTGTAAAAATATTTAGGATAGTTAAATATTTGCCAATAAAAAACTAATAGAAGAGTATATATCAGTACCATAGATAATGTCTAAATCTGTGAGAATTAAGGGTCTTCCGGCTTCAACACACATCTGAGAAAGATAAAAACTGATCATTAGTATGTGATATTTTAATATAGGATTAATTTATCAAATATTTACCATTATCCTGCTCAAAACAGCATACAAATAATCACCATCGCCGTCATCGGGAAATTGTGAGCCACAAAGCACAACAGGGTCTAACTGTTGATTTCGTACATGATAGGTTAGGATGTTAACTAAAGAATCACTTTTTCCAATGACCATTAAATGTCGTGTGTCTTTACGATTAAGATTTTCGTTTATGAGCCGTTCAACGGGAATTGGTGTATATTTATAGTTCTTATTGTTACTGAAAGAATTTAGGACTTTGCCGAAATATGTTTCGCATATTAATTTGGTCTGATCGGTTCCTCCAAAATTTCTTATCAACCCTAGTTCCAATGTACTCACTAAATTGTGAATATAGCATTAACATCTTAAGTGGTTAGTTAATATTGTAAACTTTAGGGAATAATTGATACAAAAAAAAAAAAAATCTCACTTGTCAACTCAGAACCACTCAGGCTTTTCACCAATGCATAGTAATCGCGAAGTCCTAGTTAGTCAATTTCATAAATTAATACTTTTTCAGATTGTGTCAGCAAAACCGAAATGTGACAGGCTACGACTAATTGATTAACATCGTCCATATTAAATAGGTTTTTTTATGTTAGGGTTAGATAAGGAAAAGCTAGAAGGAAGATTTAGACTAACCCTATGCCAAAATTACGAGTAGAATTTTTTTTTTCTTAGATCACAAGTGTAGTTTCATAAGCAAAATTTTGAAGTAGAAAAAACATTTTTTCATAATTTTGTCGGTTAACCTGTCACACATTCTGGACATGCATTGTGTCATAAGATGAAACCCACCGTGAAAGTTTTTATACTTTTGATTCTTTTCATAATCAAGGTAAGCATCAGCAAGTTGCCTGAGTTTGGAATCTGCGATTCCATTTTTAGTTTTGTCATCCAAAAGCATGGAAGCTGTTAAGATAAGGTCCTCAACGCCAAATTTTGGTCGTTGCACAAGTAATGCTCTGCTTGATTTACTATTATCCAGGCGCCAATTACTAATGCCAACAACTGACACTGCTGGATCATCATTAAATTCTTTTTTACAGTCTTTTTTGCTACTATCTGATATTAATGAGTTTTCATTTCTATCATTTTTATTATCTGGCATTAACGATAATGAACCTTCTACTATAGCTTTATCTCCATCGCTATTAACTATTTCTATAGAAGCTTCTTCGGAAACGATTAAATCTTTATTTGATTTTTCGTTTGATTTTTCATTTGATTCTTCACTTGATTTCTCACTTGATTTCTCATTTGATTTTTTATTTGGGCTTTCTTTTGAATTTTCTTTAGATTTATCAACAACTAATGCTTCCAGATTTTCTGTAGAGTCTTCCCTAGAAAATCCAGGTTCTAAAAGAGCATGAAGAACTTTCAAGGGGTTAAATCGACTAGTTTCTGCCAGACCAACTTCGTCAAGAAGAACTACGGCTTGCACAGGATATGCTTTTGAACTTGTTTTTTGGTAGTTTTTCGCTTTATCGAAAACCTTGACGATACCTGTCGAAGTTGATGACGCTGAACCTTGATGTGGTATAAAGTAGACCTTATAAAAACCATAAAATTCACGCGTTAAAATGGTAATTGGAGATACACCATAATGAAGTAATATATAATTTACCTGTGGTAATGTTTTGAAATATTCGTCTTCAGAATCTGCTCCTCTTAAATTTGAGCTGATGATTCTTATTGCCAAGGATTTTGAGCTGTCATTAATAATATTGCAAATGGATTACAGTATAATTTGAATGTTAACATTTTATTAGATTAATGTCTGTAATTTAAATAAAGTACAAACCTTCCAGGAGCACCGATAATAAAAACAGGGATTCGATTCAGTATGCAAACAATCATCACGAGAATATTCTCTAAAAGTGCTTCATTATCAGCTGTTGATGGAGGTATCACCATTCTTTGCATAAAATCTTCTTGCTCTTTGCGAATTATCATCTGAAAATCTGAAGCACTAAGTTTCTCCTTATGTTCTTTAAAGACCCGTGACATGCATTCTCGATATTTTTTTCGTAAATCTTGATCATATAAACGTGATTGATAACAAAGTCCAAGTGATAAAACAAAACTACAACGTATCAATTTTTTATTGTCTTTTGGTGGATAGCTCCAATGTTTCATAAAGAGTGAAATTCTATTAGCTCGCATGACTGGCGATCGTTCTTTTAGGCTCTTTTGAAACCACTTAACCAATTTGATCGCTCTTTTTACATCTCGCAAACTTACAGTGTATGGTTCTTCAACGTTGCGAATGAATTTCTGTGATTCACTAAGGAGATCTACGAGCACTGGATATGTACCTATCTGACTTTTTACCATTATCTTAATATATTCCTGATCAAATATAAAGAATTTGTTCATTAGTTAAAGTCAAGAAATAGTCAAGAAGATAGTGGAAAATTTAAGAAAGCATGCGTACCCTTTCATCATCAGGCTTGAGAGTGCCATAGTCCCATACGTAATCTAAAATTTGATTGGGCAGAGGATGTACTTGGTAGACCAATTTACTCTGTTCTTGGTAATTTTTTTCCAAACCTACACTACTTGCACTTTTTTTGCGAAGTCGATAAGGATTACATGCAGCAAACAAACGAATATTCCAATGTATCGGCCTGCCCGACAGAATTCTATGAGCTATTAGATCTGCAAGGAGTCCAATGTGATTACATGTGTTGATTTCATCAAAGAATAACCATACTTGGCCATTCTTGGCATGCTGGGTGCTTATTTCCATAAATTCATGAATTTGATCTTCTTGTACACCGGCGTGAAGTGAAAGTACCTTAAATTTGACTTCAACAACAGATGCTAAAAAGCCAATAAGACTTGTCTTTTAAAATATTAGAATAGTTAATATTCCAAGATTTTAATTGAAATTTTATTAAAAGCTTCGAGATTTTATTCCAAAAATTTTACATACCTTTCCACAACCTGCTTCTCCACATATAACCACTGGAATGCTTGCTCTAGCTCTCAATAGAATCAAGGCCATTTTAAGAAGATTGTCAGCTGACAACGCATAATTAGGTAACGTTAATTTACCCATCGATTTTCGCGCTATACGTTCTAATTTTTCTAATAAAGAACTTGCAGACATGGTATGATAATCATCTAACTCCCAAGTTTTTTGTTCTTCTGATAGAGAGAAATCAATTTGATAATTACTGATCTCTTGACTCAATAAAAGTTGTTTCACGTTATCTGGGACATTATCTCGGTCACGATAAAGAGCACAAATAGAATCCGGAGTTTGTGATAAAAAGAATACTAAAAGATGATTAGAAGCATCCCATTGAACGATCTTCTCCAATTTATCATCATTCACGTTTACAGTTGATTCCAATTGAGCAGCTTTTGTAGCAATTGAGCGAGTAGCAAAATCTTTGGAGACTTCAAGCAAGGTTTTCATCAATGTCGTACGAATATTCTTATCTCCCACCATGAGTTTAAGATTATCAACGGTGAAAAACGAACTTGATGATAGACGAATTAATTGATCAGCAAATACTTTTAAGAAAACTTCTACAAAACGGTATGTTGTAACATATTCATCGTTATCATTCAAGAAATATTTTTGTATCAACTCTTGACATCGTTCTGGCTCTATAGTTTTATTCACGCGTCTCAATCCATTGAACGGAATATCCTTTTCATTAAGCAGATTACGATCGTATATATCTAAATAATGGGATACTATTTGGACTGGACTAGAAATTTCTTGTGAGACAGCAAGTTCATTTATACTCCATTTAATGTGCACCCTATTAAGGTATTGCGCAATCGGGATTGAATTTAATAGACGATCATTATCAGTTGATGCAACCTCGATGAATATACATTTTGGAAGGCAAACAATGTCCGTTTTATTTGAGACGAATCCGAGTGTTAAAAGTTCGAAAAGAAAACCATTAACATCGACAGGATTTTCAACGGACACAATGTTCAAGTGCATGCTTTCTATTGGTCTGAGTTTACACTCATTCAACTTTCTAACTAGTTCATCGAAATGAATATTATCACTTATCAATAAACTTCGTATAATTAAATTACTTTTAAAACTGGCATTTCTTATATATTCTGTTTTGCCTTGGCCAGACAGATCGGAAGTAACACAAAATACGTTTGGGCAAAGTTCTTTATACATATTTGTCATAGTAATTTCTCCAAGACCGTTAGTGGCGCACACTCGTTCCGAAAATTGATCAAGAATGTGATGATGAACACCATTTTCCCGACAACAAATTAAAGCCAAGTAATAATCATTTTCAGTTTCTTGATAATAGCGAACATCATTGACTAACATATATTGTAATTCGAAATCAAGAAACTCCAAACCTGCAATACAAAATAAGTAATCTTTATAATCATGTTTTGAGGCAAGGAAACATCTTTTGATGAAAAGTGAAATTTCTTCAGCAGTTGTAGTTTCTCTACACATTAATAATTGCCATGGTTCAGGATACAAATGGTGATTTTTACATAGATGATTTGCATATAAAGATAAAATAATGTTAGATACGCGATAAGTGTCTGTGCATGCCGCAACAAATAGTTTACCCGAGTAAACTACATCTGACATAATCGGTTCGAGTTTTGTTTTAATTTGTCGGGGATATTCAAATTTTCTTGTAAATATGTTGCGTAATTTTTCACCTAATTTGCAGAGAACTTCGTAGAAATTCATTTGATCTATATTAATTTCCATATCACCTTTGTTTGGTGGTAATTTTGCCCCTTTACTCACAAATCGAAGTAATATTTCACATGTCTCGAGAGTTTTAGAGTCAACTTTGCCTTTGCAACTAAAATAATCATAAAATGCTAAAACATGTTTTGCTGTATAAAAAGTCAAGTAGTAATATTTTTCCTGTGCTCGTTTCATAGTATCTTTCCTAATGGAATTTTTTTTATAAAAAAATAAATAAATAAAAGAAGGTTTAAAGATTTAATAGTCAATTAATGCTAATCTCACCATTCATATAGATCTTTTTTGAGCTTTTCAAGTCGTGATATCATATTTTCTGTGGAATTTACAGATATACTCCATTCTCTATATGCAAAATGACCCAGTTCCATTAATTGCGAAGCATATTTTATAATTTGATGTACTGTATCTACTTGTTGTACAAATTTCATCAGTTCATCAGTTCCTTGTTCTAAACTACTTTCTCTCTCAACTGGTAGACGTAAAACGAAAGCCGATGCTGCTTGCTTTGCGATCAAAAGAGCCTGTCCTTGCAGATCTTGTAAACCAAAAAGATCGTAGGAATTTATTATTCCAGATTTGTCTTTACAAAACAATTCTACTACACATTTATCATGATTCTCATCACGATAAAATTTGTATGAACCTCTCGTAGCAGCATCCTTGATGCGTTCTTTAGTTACTTCACCTCGATTCAATATACTAAAGTATATATTCTGAAGAGCAAGACTACTTGAACAGCAATGTGTTATTTTTTCATGCAAAGTTTCATTCTTTGAAGTTATCCTAGAAATGTGATCCAAAAATTTATTTATTACCGTAAGTGTTGATTTTCCTTCCTTAAAAAGTTTCACCATATCTTTAATAAGAGGTGCCAAAAATTGTTTAACTTCAATCAATGAAGCAACAGTCTCATCTTGAACTTCACGTTTATCATCCACTCCATTGATTAAATTTCTTAAATCACCCTCTGCTATTGTCTGAAGCCAGGAAATAAAATCTCCAGCGAACGACAATGCACCGATCATTGCCCAACAGTTATCATCAAGATTATGAATATGTTTATTTGCTTCATTAAATGCATTATACAATTCTAAAAGTGTTAAAGATTCTTTGAGCAATCTATTATGCACATTAGCTACCCAGCTTTCGGCAACATCTTGAACTCTAAAATTTTTCAAAGTTCTTCCTAAATCACCGAGTCGTTCACGCCACGATTTAATGTGAGCAAGATAGCTTACTGCCTTTTTCAAGTTATCTTTCGGTTGCCATTTCATACCACGAGAAATTAATTCAAGTTCGTGATTAATATTTTTAACTTCGACACCTTTCCAAAACGGACTAATCTTTGAACATTCAAGTTTTGTCCAATCTTTATATTCAACTCTTAAATTATCATAGTCTAAAAAGGCTGCATTCATATATTTTAAGGCAATTAATTCAACCGTCAAGGTCTCTTCATTTGAACCTAAACATTTCTCAAAAACATTTTTGAATGTTTGAGATTCTGCATAAATATATGACCGTCGCGCTACCTCTATAATCGGATAATGAAATTTCCAAAAAAATTTTGTTGTTATGTTTTCGAGGATAACAATTTCTTGCATATTTAATTTTGTTTCTATATCTAAAATGTAATCTTGTCTATCTGTGGCTTTTACACAAAATCGTTTGTAGAAAACATTGAGCTTATTTAACTTGTTCATATATGAATCATAACTATCACGGAGATCTTGAAGAACTTTTTTGGTAATTTTAAGGTTTGATGTCTCATAAATCGTTGAAAAGTAGGCTAACAAATTATTATCATCATAACAAAGTACATTTTTAAGCATGTTTATTTCTATAGATTGATCTAACAACTTTTTGGCTAATTGAGTGATAGCTCGACGAACCGTTTTCACATACATATGCCGGCTATGTAGTCCTTCAACTGAGCCGGTTGCTTTTAAGATACAGACCCAAAAGCTTGATGAGGCAAGCAGTATATTGTGTAAGTTATCTTCAATAATATCTATTTCGTTCATATCGATATTTGACAAACTTTCTTGTAATTTTGTCAATATGTGAAAAACAATTTCTTCGCAGAGTCTAATCAAAAATTCACGATTCAAGAATTAGATTAACATAGGTGCAGTGCAAAACAAGCAAAAGGAATTTAATACTTCAACAACTTACGTGTTTGGGATATGTAATTGTTGTCCTTTAGACTTGCAAATTCTCATAATTTTACTTAATAATTTGTTATCACTATTTTTGACACCTGAATCAAATCTTTCTTTCAATACACAACTAAATATCTCTATAAGCTCTTTTTGTTTAAGATCTCCAATATTAACAGCAGCATCGAAAATCACATTATCTTTAAGAACTTTAACCGCTTCTTCAGCAGCATCAAAGAGCTGAGCACTTGTAATATTGTATTTTTTCATGATGGAGTATATAGTTGAGAGGTAATGAAATATTGTGCATGCAAAGTTTTCTTCGATATGCTTTGGTGCATTTTGTTCTTCCTTAATACACGCCAGTGCGCTTTTGAACCATTGAGTACAAATTTTACCGAGTCTTTTATCGTTCGAATCGATATCTATGAAATCTTTTTCGAGAAACTTTACTAATTGATTAGGGAAACTTTGTAATAAATTCATGTTTCCTGAAGCAGAAAAAATACCAAGTGCTTGCAAGACAGTATCCTCTTGCCAGTTCAATCTAGCATTATTAAGTAATTTAAGTATCGAGTCTATATTATCTTTATTCCAATTAACATTAAAATTACTTAATAATTTAAAGATTCTTTCACGAAATACGAAAGTAAAATCGATATTAAAATTAATAGGTATCTCCTTAAGATGTTTCTCTAACTCTTTTGCGTTGTCATTCAATAAAAAATAATTTAGACGATTGAGAGAATATTCACTAAGATCATCATACATATATGAATCGGGATGAAAAATGGTTTGCCATAAAAAGATTATCGCGCAAATGCTTTGGCATAAAGAAAGTAGATTTTTGCAAATTTTAACATAAGTGACATCATTTGTAATTTTATCCATGGATGGTTTGGCAAATTTTTTGAGTGCTTCTAAGAAATTTGACTCATTTCCTCTCGTATACACAGAAACTTTGAACTGCTCAAGGAAAGTATACCTCGGATCTATAATTGGAGCAACTTCAAAAGCCTTTATCCATTCGAATTTTGTGGAAAAGGTAGAAATATGCAGGACTACTGTACAGACAACTTGTGGCAGTACTTTAATAACTCCATGAGGTAAATCATCCTTACTGATATTCTTGAAAGTTTGTAACATATCAATGGAAGGGAAATCTTCCGGAAGATTATATCCAAGTGGCATATAATTTCTAAGCTTTTTTTCTTTTATCGCGTAGCCTAACAAAACGCATAAAAATACATTTTGCTTAATGGAATTTGTATCACCAAAATTCTTAAAAACAAACCGTTCTAACGCATTATAATCCAATATAGAAACATGTCTCTTGCTAATATCTAAATATTCAATGATTTTCTCCTTTAAATTTTTTTCATTAATCGATTCATAGATAACAGAGATATATGGATAATACTTTAATAAATCTTTTAACTTTGATCGGTACTTTTCAGTATTGCACCATAAATCATATTGATTTTCCCTGAAAATGAATTCACGTTTTTTGCGATCCCAAAACCAATTTTCAGCATCAACATCGATATCAGGAACTATATTTTCAAATGAAGAATTACTTTTGATAGATAACTGATTAAATAACTTTTTTGCTAAACTACTTTTAGCGCCTTTGTAAACAAAGTAGCCATATTGAATAGGTCTACCTTCAAGAACATCAATTGGTACACTAATCGGATCAGAATACCAATAAATAGGATTTTTATCATATCGCTTGAGCTGTACGATGCCATATCTCCCATCTCCTAGTTCCTTAATGTTACCAACCACAAATACCATAAATTTTCTTTTAAACACTTTTTTCGGCATTATTACATGAAAATAAGTAGTCACCATATTTTCGGTAAAAATTTCAGGTGGAATTACATGAGGACCTAATATTTGATCATTTTGATTATCTTGTTCGGTCGCAATGTCATGAGCTTGATTTGCAGTCGCATTGATCATGAAATCTTTTACAAGATCATTCGATTGATTATCCTTATTTTTCTTTTTTTTCCTGCTAAAGACTCGTTTAATACTCCAACTTCTTTTAACAGATTTTGAAGATTCCTGATTAAATTGATCTTCGGTATTTATATCACCATTTTTAGCTTCATCGCTCTGTATATTTTTGACCATTTCATAATCTTGTATATTTATATTAATTTCATCATTTTGAGAATCTGTATCAGTATCATCACTTTGATCATTTATATCACTTTCAAATGTTGCTTCTATATCTTTATTACTCGTTCTGGTTATCCCTTCTTGAAATGTAATTAATTTAGATGTATCAGTTGAAGTCACATGATCTTTATCATCTTTATCATTGATATTAGACGAAAAACTAAAAATATTTTGAGTGCTAGTACCAGTTTCGTCAAATCCAGTCAATGAGGTCATATTTGGTTCAGCTGATGGTTCATTGCTTGTTATTCTTAAAGGAGAACCGACCGCTTCTAGTACATTCGAATTAGGTACGTCAATTGGAGGAATTGGCAAGATTTTTTTATTATCAGAATCCAAGTCTTTTTCCATAATTAATTGAATCTTGCAAGGATGAAAAGTAAATGTTATATAGAGTAATCTGAATTTTTTAGCAAATCAAATAGTTTATTAAGTAATTATTTAATTATATTTGTTTGTGTACAAATAATAACATACCAAATTTAGTAATTTTGTCATTTTATTAGTTAGACGCCGTGATTATTTAATTTATACTTTTAAGGTATTTTCTAAAAATAGTAATGTTTCTCAAAAAACAAGATTGGTGCGGTTTCTTATTAAAGTATTAGTACCAGTACACCGAAACTAACCTTTGTTCCCAATTTCACAATATTTGAACTGAAAACTGATTTGGCATAAAATTTTGTAGCTTTGAATGAATAAAAACGTCTAAACGAGCTTTATTTACCTAAAAACTTTTTTTAAATCATTAAACAAATTTAGAAAACTGACTATTATATATATTAGAAAAATGATAGTAAATGTTAAATAATTACAAGCGGTTTAAATATTATATTTGTTTAGATTGTGTTTGATTACGTGTTGTGCTTGTGTTCTCATTTATAAATCTCATACATAAAGTAATAAAATTTTCTTTGTAAAAACAATCATATTATGTCACAAGATAAATTAGTATATATAATGAAAAACCTAAAACATACGAATGATTTAACTAAATCAACCATTATATTACTACCAAATAAAATAAATTCAAAACAATAAATACAAAAGTTTACATAAGCAGATAAATACAAATTATTGTTTCGTTGTCATTTATTTAAATAATGAGAGATTTTAAAGATAATTTTGATGTTAAATTCACTTTATCAAGAAAGTCATTTTTCATCAATGTATCGAAAATTACTATATCAAACGTGGCTTTATATACTTATTTAACAAACACTCTCACTTTCATACTCAATTCCAAAGTATCCACTAAACCGTTAATGCTAATAATAAAAATTTAAAATTATAAATGATCCAAGAAAATCTAGTAATTCACATAAATAGTTTGAGACTTAAATGGCAATGATATACAGATTTGAAGTTTAATATTCCATAAAAGATTCAAATAAAAAAAAATTTGAAAAGGAAATTTAGAACATGTGAAAGACTGATCACGAGCACAAAACTGATTATCGTTGTCATAATTTCAATGATTCAATTTAACCAAATTTTTAAACTTGAAACTTGGTTTAGGGATGCATCGGTCCGTCTTGGTCCGTCTTGGTCTTTACAGTAAAAGCACAAATTTCAATAGTAATAGTTTTAGAATTACGTAAATCTTACGTTAAAAAAGGATTGGCGATGTTATCTGATATCATTACATCATTACACCAAATCGAGTAATTTTGATCCACATACGAACTAGTTTTGAACCGCTAAGACCGGTCCAGGACCAGTCTTGTTCCGGAAATAATTCTTTTAATATTGGTTACACTATTTCTATTGACTATCCAACTTTATATTCGTACAAATCTTCGCACTATAATTTTTGAACCTCGGCTTTGTCACAACACATTGGGTCTAGCATGTTAAGAATCAACTGATCAATAAAGTCACGTATACAATAATAGCACCATCAAATACCGACACAGAAACGATCGGTGTGAGACTCCCATTTCCAATTGATGAGAACCCATCAAATTCGGGCATAACATACATTTATCCAATAAAGTATAAATGTATTCGAATATACCGGGTGTCCCAAAAGATGGTCCCTTTTTTTTTTAAAGCGACTTATATATAGAGATCATGATTATTTATGCAACACTTAAATAAAAAAGGGACCATGTATAGGAACTTTTGGGACACCCGGTATAAAGATTTATAAATATTATTTAATATTGATAACGAATTCATAATTATTAGGTGGTTCAAAGTTAACAAATAAGTGGGCATTTTGAAATTAAATGAGAGTTTAAAATCGAAAAAATGAGATGGGAGTGCTTGGAGATCCTAGTGAATTGACCCGTCTAAAAAATCTTCACCCGGGTGGGCAATGTGCTACCCAGGTGGAAATTAGCCAGTTTACAGCTACTTTCATAATTCCTGGAACACCTGATAAAAATTGACCGAATGATTTTTCGGCCGATCCGGTGGTTATATTTTTCGGGAATAATAAGATTCAGTAACAAATATATCAAATACGTAATTTAATAAGATCAGGTGACTAATATATATTACAATAAGATGCGCACTTATAAGTCGTAAAATTTCAATCCTATTCTTTGGCACGATCCATTTTTTCTTAAACGATGCCTTTATTCATTTCTAGTTATTTTTCGACGAAAATTCGGGTTTAAAAAATTGTATAAAATTTCATCATTGGCAAGATTTGTTTTCGTTCAAACAAAGCCTTTATTCATTTCTGATTTTTTTCAACGAAAACACGGTTTTAAAAAAATTGTGTAAAATTTCAATTCCTATAATCCATTTTCATTCAAACGAAGTAAAAAATTGTATAAAACTTCAATTCTTATTCTTTGGTAAGATCCATTTTCGTTCAAACGAAGTCATTTATTTATTTTCGTTTCTTGTCGAGAAATTCGTTTTTAAAAAATTAAACCAAATTTCGATTCCTATACTATGGCAAGATTTTTGTTCAAACGAAAGCATTTATTTATTTCTAATTATTTTTCGTTTCTTGTCGAAGACGAGAAAAATACATAAACAAATATAAACATATAAAATTTTTTACTTGGATTTCGTTTATCATAATTCTTCATGTATTCTCGACAAATATTAATAATCTTGGTCTCTTGGAATCTTAGCTAGAGATTCATTTTTAAACCAGTCAACATATTCATGTTCATATTTAACTTTTTTCATAGAGGCACCTATTCGTGTAATATATTTGTTATAAAAGTCTAATTTATATTCGGATCCTTTTTTACGTTTTTTTATTAAGGTTTATTGGTTGACAAGAGCAGTCTTTTCCATAAATTTCTGTACAAACTAAGCACACCAAACATGTTGGACAAGCATTTGAACGAAAATTTTAAAAAAGTTGACATTATTGTTATAACGATTGTAAAATTATGCCGAAATCAATAACTTAGCCGGATCGGCCGAAAAATCATTTTGGTAAATTTTTATCAGGTGTTCCAGGAATTATGAAAGTAGCTGTAAAAAAAATTGCCACCCGGATCGCCCGGCAGGTCACCTGATGGATCACCCTGGTTAATTAATAATACGTTGTTCTAAAAGTGATAAAAGTTTTTTAAAAATCCATATCGTTAAATGACCCAGCGGAGATATTTCTGTATTCAAGTTTTATTTACATCGGATATATCAATTTATTGAATATATTATACTAAATCACAAACTTAATTGGTAGGGTCTTAGTAGTGGGTTGGGCACTTGTGGTGGTGATGGGATCGGAAAAAAAATCATTCGACCAATTTTCCCAGAAATTATGATAATAGAAGTAAAGTATGGTTATGATAACAATTCCAGCTGATTTATCTTCAGAAGCTAATATACTACAAAATTATGAGCCAACCAACCCATGGCCCAACTCACAGGCACCTGTGTGTCAACCCACGGGTAGACCCACCCGTTTTCACCTGGGTTGCTATAACTTAACCCGGGTAAGATCCACCCCGCGTCAAATCACTAGGAGATCCCCATTTAATGAAATCGGAAAATTTTATAATACTCGTAAAACTTTCGTTCAAATTGAAAATAAAATCAGATTGCCGGATCACTCATTTCAAAATAAATACGTCATCAATTTCAATTAAAATTAAATTTCCGCGTTTTAACTTTGAAACCCTAATATGAAATATTCATGATAATAAGCGACTATTTTTAATTTCGGATATTCAAATTCTTTGAATGAATTCTCATAATTATTATTAATATTCGTATTATGAATTTTCATACGTATATCTATATAAATGATATACGTATTAATACTACTATTTTACAAACGTCTGTTACAAATATCTGTCCACCTTCATATTTGTTATTGACTGTGTTACAAAATTGTCTCATATTTACAATGGCGTGATTTTATGGAAATTTGTACTATATTAATAAAATGATGATTCGTGTCAAATTTATATAGGTTAATACTGCCTCTGGATTATTTATGTAAATCGTACATTATCAAATTAAGAAAATTTTGATGATCGAAAATTCAGAATACGTACAGTACTATCGGTATCGTGTGTTGATTGTTTATCGCAATTATTAGCAACAAATGAGTCGTGATTGATTCTAATCATGTTCTTAAATTCAAATTATAATCACATCTACATTTCGTAATGTACAAAAACTGTAACCAATGATTCTTGACGGTTCTATTTTTTTGTAATAACAGAAAGTTAATCTTATATTCATCTGACGAAATCCTTGGAAATCTCTGACGATCGATGAAACTTTTGACGAATAAATTCAACCAATAAAAATACATAATTAAAATACAGTAACTTTCTTTGAATGAGCTTCTTTACAATAAATTTTAGATATGCCTAGTGTTGTTAGATGAAACTTTTTGTAAAATTGCGAAGGACGAAATTTACCCCAAAAGACAAACCTCCTGCGAAGTCGACTCCCGCGAAGCCTATGAAAGACGAAGCCTATGAAAAACAAAGCCCTAAGCCTCCCTGCGGAAGACGAAAAAAGTAAGTTGACCCGCTTTATAAATCTCTTCACTCTGGTCACCTGACGGACCTGATATGTTATTTGCCTGGATGATCCACAAACACGACATTTATTAATCAAATTGCTTGGTAAAAAGTTTCGTCATCATTATTATTAAAAATCTTATTAAAATTTATTATGAACATAATACTATATGTGCTAAGAGAAAATCTATAAATAATTTAAGCTTCCCGTACCGTACTTCCAAAAATGATATTATGTATTCAATCACTGGACGGTCAGTTGTAAGTACAGTCAAAAACATTATCGAAAAGATTTAGCATATTTATCGTAACCATGGATAGTAAAAAAAAAAAAGACATGAATATTTTTTACAGGTTTAAAACATGCGATAAATTTGATTTCGAATTTAGACACCGTATATCCAATCATAAGGATAGCTGCGCGAGATGCGATGCCGCGCAGGACCAGTACGATCATGAGTGACATGTAAAATTTCAATATATATATAAGATAGCTGTATATTATCGCTCTAAAACCAGCGTAACGGTTGAATGGAAGTGCGGTTAATTGGACGCGTAGCGTAGCCCCAATAAAGATGTTATGTGGATTGTATGATACAAGGCTTCTATGTGAACTTAATGAGATAAAATCAATATGACTATGTTGCTTTATAATGGAAACTAGGTTTTCCTTATATTAAAATAAATGCGACACTTTTTATATATTTTGAACAATATGAAAGAGAACATGTTTGGAACCTACGTTAGCTCACGTCAACATGCGTACGGAAGCTTTATCAATTACAATTCTAAATTTAGTTAGATGATCAATAATATAAGATCATTCATTACATCAGAAAAAGGGAACTTGCAAAAATCAGCATAACTAACATATGCTCACATCAAAAATAGTTGAACGGAGCCATCTCTCTTACATTTCATGCGATCGTACTGGTACGACATGGTGCCCAGAATTGAGAGAGCGATAAGTGAACATGTGCGGTTTAGCTTTGGGCACTACATAAATTATGCTAATCGTTGTTCTGTGCGTTACCGTAAAATCTCGAAATAACGCGCCGGGGTGAAATTGCAAATTTCGGCCCGAATTAAGCTTAATTCGGGCCAGTATTCGAAATAACGCCCATGCCCACTATTTTGAGATTTTACAAAAATGTAGTAATAATCTACTTATGAATTATTCGTTCGAGTTGACGTGCATACAGGCGTATGCATAGTCAACGGATCGAAAAGTCAGCTAAGCAGGGGTAGATATTGCAAGGGGCCGGGTTAATCACGGAGTATAAGCTACAGGGGGAAGCATGTGAAAATCGGCACCAAAACACGGGACTCAGGTGAAAATCCAAATGAAGGTAAGCATGATGTAAAATGACCTTTCGCAACAGCAAGTGCCAACAACCCGGTCAAGTTTAGAACAAGCAGGCCACAAAATAAAAGGAATTGAATACAGCTGCTGCGTCAAGAACCGCCATTTCTGCTGCGAGGAGTAGGCTATTTCACAATGAGCAGAAAACAAAAGAAAGTTACAGAACCAATTCAGCTAGGAGGAAATTCATTATCGGAAGATACAATGGAATCTTTAGAAAGCCAAGAGCAAGAAGATCAAGGCCAAAATAACCTACTAAACTCAGAAACTAAGACATACTTGGATGCAGTGATTAAGGATACTGCAACTTCAATAATTCAAACAATGCGGTAATACATGGACCAGCAGTTTGAAATGATTAACATGAGGTTTGAGCAATTAGAACAGGTGAATAAGGTGGTAACAAACTTAATATCAACAACCGGAACGACACAGTCAAATGGCAAGTGCGCAGCAAACACAAAATCGAAACTTGGAGGCCACATGAAGCACAAATACAGGAGGTAACCTGAACCAAATCGAAGGTAACTATCCCTCGACTTCAACAATCAACAAATTGATCATAGATATGAACCCAACAGACCTAAGTGATGGGAGGCAAGAGAAAAGTGAAGTTGTTAGATACAAAGCGACATTGAAAATTTTCCAGCTTTAGATTCTGCAGAGCTTAAAAAATCATTTATAGTTCAAGGATTGAGCAACCCGAGAGCTATAGAAACTGAGGAAATTCGTTTATGGTGGGTGTCAAATTAGAATGAGGGCCAAAACTTAATCAAAACACTCCTACAAAAGCCAAGCTTAACGAACAAGGTATAGAAGTTATTGGCACTAGGTTCGTTCATAAATCTCCAAGAATTTTCACAAAAGAACATGAGTGAGGACACAGTCTTACAGCATCAGATAGTGGAACTATATCGATAAGGAAGCACTCACGTGGTGGCATGTTCCAGAACATATTAGAGTGGTTACTGGCATTTAAAGCTTATATGGACACAGTACTTATACTCTACAAAATCGAGAGCAGAAATTAAATACATACAGAGACCACATAAACAAATTATATATAAAATATGAGTTTTCAGCAGTATTGGGATATAATGAAGACTGCAGGATTTGCATTGGTTATAAACTGGGACACTACACTGATGGACTAGGATATCGAGACAGAAGGGAAGAATTTTGACACATTTATAACAAAAAGGCCAAGGGTTGAAGGATAAAACCTAGGTTGGATTGATACCACATAGTATGATAGTAAAAAAATATGCTTAAATTGGAATAAAAAGTCATTCCCGGAGGATAAGATATGCAGAAGGGTACACGTATGCATAGTATGCAAAAAGTAAGGCCATAGTGAGAAAACTTGATACTAAAAGGCCACAGGCACAGAAATACCAATGTAGGAAAAAATAATTCACCAAGAAGTGATCCATAGCCGGTAGACTTACAGGAAATAGAGAAGAGCTACCAGTGATTACAAGAACATAAAAAAAAAAAAAAAAAAAGTGGGAAAGGAATTGAACAAATAAATTATCAAATATAAAAAAAAAAAAAAGAATGAAAGAGGAGAATAAATAAACAGGCACAAGAAATTGCTATCACATGCTTGACAGAGATTTTAACAAATGGCTGTCGCTGTAAAATAAAACAGAACAGAAAATAATAATAATAATATGCATTGTACATGATTTGATAATTAGTTTATATTATGCTCATTAAGTCATACTAATGCAATTTTACAATCAATACAATAGCAAGTAAGGGTCAGAGAACCTATTTAAGACATACAGCACAGTTCAAGGCATCAAGAGCAATAACAGCATGTGCAAAGCCAATTCTACAATCAGTCACTTAGACAATCAAGGCTTCCCCGCCTAGATGCAATCTTTTATCACAAGAAGCCAAAATTATGACACAGCTAGATCCAGAAATCTTTAAGGCTACAATGTCTATAAATAAATTAGCATTAGAATACTTGTCACATAATTATTCAAATCACAATTTTGTTCAGTATCTAAAGGATGACAGAGAGCACGGGTTTCAGTTTAATTTTTTGAACAAACATGTTATAATTGTACAAGAAATTTTAAAATCAATTGAAATAGAACCAAGGGTATTTATTGAGTATATTACTAAAGAACTAGGGATAGGATGAATGTGTGGCCCATTTTCACTACCAAGCCCTCTTTGCTCAGCATTTCAAATAAACCCATGTGGGTTGGTAGAGAAAAAGGATACAAATCCTAAAGCATATTGGGTAACATCACACTTATTAGCATCATTTGGGGTAGGGTTTCTCAAAATCAAATCAAATCAAATATTTAATGAATTTGAATTTGATCAAATCAAATATTATATAAATTTGAATTTGATCAAATCAAATCAAACCAAATAAATGCTTATTTGAATTTGATTTGATTTGATTGATATAAATCAATTATCCCAGCAGTATTTATTATTTTACTTATTTAAATTTGGGGTTTCTTAACTAAACCTTTTTTTCTTTACAAGTAAACTCTTTTCAACTTCTAATAAAAGTTGTAGAGATGTGTTTTGCAATCAAAATGGCAGTTAAACCGTTAAAATTTGCCAAGTAAATTACAAGATATAAGCATTTTTGTCTTTACAATTATATGTTTTCTTCTTTATATAAATAAAGAAATCATATAGTTGTAAAGGCTAAAATACTTATATCTCACGATCTACCAGGCCAATTTTAGCATTTTAACTATTATTTTGATTACAAAACACTATTCTATAACTTTACTTAGAAGCTAAAAAGCAATTTACTAAGCAAAGTTTCAAAAATCACAATATTTTTTATAATTTTATTAATAAAATTATGGAAAATATTAAAATCTATAAAATTGTACTAATTAAAGCTATCTTTATGTTCTAAGTAAACTTGTTATATGCATAAAAATACATCATATTAGTATATATTTATCTAGGACCCCTAACAATCTATATAAAGATCATATTTGAAAATTTGCTATTATGGGCTTTTTTTTTAAAAAGGTTATATTTGAAAAGTAGATATTGGGTAAAAAGGTTATATTTGAAAACTGCTAATCACTAAATAGGATATATTTAAATTTATGCTAATCGAATAAG